ACATATTCATACCATAAGGGAACTCAATCATGCATATTGTCAAGACATCAAATGTGAAGAGTTTAGCACATAACATTATTAATGGCTCAATCATATCATGGCATAGAATATATAATAAACAACCATTGCAAGTTAATATCAAAGTTAAATGTTCTTGCTACCTTGTTCCAAGTCTTGATTCTTGCCTCTCTTCCCTTGAGTTTTAGGTCCATCTTGCCGATTCTCAACTCCTATTCGATCACATAATAGGGGCATTCTAAGTATCAATTCAACTTCAATAACTTAAAGCCTTAACACTTATATTTGATTTTTAGGGTTTTAGTGTCACCTTTCTTAATCTAATTCCCACATGCTTTTCCTACATAATTTTGTATATAGAATCCATATTTGAGCTTGGAATCACCAAAATCCAACTCCTTCCTATCTATCTTGATTTGGCTGAATGCATAGGGCCTAGGATTCAAAATTTTTATTTTCAATTCTAATGTTTCCAAACACTTTTTCTCAACATTATCCTACACAATTTCATCTCCTAAACTCATTAGAAGCATCAAATTAACATGAATCAAACTCTAAACCTTAGTACTCAAAGTGGCCAAACCTTGTGTCCCAAGAAACTAATCATAAAATCTTCCATAAATCATGCAATAACACAAAATTCAAGCGTTTTTCTACCTCTCAATCCCTACATCATCAAATCATTCATGGCATGCTTAATTCAAGTTTTCACGGCACAAGAACTTAAGTTTCTAGCTCCCAATCACCACAAGTACTTTATTTATATTACTTTTCATTCCGCGTAACCTTTTTCCATCATTACAAGTCAAATAAAATGCCCATGTAACTGATAGCAAAGACTTAGAATTATTACAAGCCTATAAAGACGCTAGCTTAGGCTAGCTTGATTGAAAGAACCCCTGATAAAGGTGAGATGAGTGAAGCACTTATATCCTTGAGAGACTCACTTGTTTTATATTCTTCTGTCTTAATTGTGTTCTTATCTTGATTCCTTAGCATTTATTATCTCGTAATGTAGGTTGATGAAAAGATGTTGAATAATTAAGCCATCTCTATTAAGTTCAAATTTGATTGATTCCTTTGCTCATTAAAGATATTTTGGGATTATTCTTAGTTTTGTCTATGAGTGCAAATGTTTAAGTATGAGGGAATTTGGTGTATCGCTACTTTATTTTATATTTTTATACATATTTTAGGGATTTTATTATAATTTGAGGTCTTAATTGCATTGGTTATGAATAAATCATGTTAATGAGGAATTATATAAATAATTGCTAAAAAGGGCCTAATTATCATGTTTTGTTAATTTTTTAATTAAACTAATTGCATGAAAGTATTTTTACTTTCTTGTGTGTTTTAGGATAATTATGACTTCTAATATAAGTTAGGCCAGGACGCCATTTGCAAGGTGATAATGGATCAAGAAAGAGGAGCCTTGGAGCCCAATTAAAATTTAAAAAAAAAAAAAAAGTAGGTGTTGAAGAACTAATGGAGTTTAGGGCCTTGAGGATACATTTAGGTCAAATTACAGCATAATTAGAGCCTATATATTTCAACCTACCACTTATACTTGGGCCCTAACACCTCTATTTAAGCCTAAATAGCATCTCTTCTATGGCCCTATTATCCACAAACGTGGCTCACCATTAAGAAAGGGTAGGATTATAATTTCACAAGGCTTTCTTCCTCATCAAGTCAAAACCATGACAATATTTCCCAATCATTCCCAAAATTCGCCTTGTTATTTTAAACCTAATTTCAACAACATCACAGTCCTCAAATTCACTGTTCAAACACTAACTTTCACACACATAGAAAATGAACGAATCACACTTCCAGTCATTCACAAACACATGCATGTCAATTCAAAATAAACCCTTGTCAACTGTTCCCCTCAGTCATGCAAACATGTCAACCACCCAAGATTTAAATCCCCAAACTCATCTCAGTTAAATGCCGACGATGCTTAGTGGCTCCCCACACACACACCTTCTTCATTCGACCCAACCAATGAGACCCCCAACCTTCGTCCTTCAAAAAACCACTATTCGCCTTCAAACTCTTCTGCTCTCTCACACTGAAATTATTTCCACCTCAGAAGCTCTCCTAATGCTGATGCTTTTAGGGCCACGATGAGGATAGAGAATGAGAGAAATAAGGAAGCACGAAAGGGGTGGGTGGTTATGCTCCAAACTAGCCCCTCTCTCCTTTTTAAATATGATATAAGGGCATTTGGGTCATTTTCATACGTTTCAAAACACCCATGAGGAGCCGCTTTCTTTTCTATAATTTCATCCTTTTAGGTGATTGAATTGGGAATAGAGAATTTGAAGGTTCTTTTTTTTTTTTTGTCATTTTCCTATTGTCAAACATTAAACTATTGATTATTACATGGGGATTTTTCTTCTCTGTAGACTTCACATATACTTGTTTGGCCATCACTTAATATGCTTGTTTAAGAAATAATCATGCTTTCTCTTGTGGGCAATTTATGTAACTTAATCTTGGACAGAAGACGGCTATTCTACGAAGATAAAAGCAATTCGGATTTGACTTAACAGTATATTCAATTATTATCAATCGTCAGCTTCGGCTAGTCCCACGCTTTACCCTTTAAAAGTTTCCGTCAAAGAGAGTGGGTTTAATGGTATTTGCATCATTTTGCAGTATAAATTAATTACAAACGAAGTCAAAGAATTTAGGAATGTTTTTTTTCCCCAAATTCACGAGTCCAATCTATAGATAACTCTTAAGTGGGACTTGTTCGTAACAAAGGAAACCGGTTTTACTTGGTTTGTTGGAGCCACTTTATATGCAGCAGTGGAAATATCAACATCACTAGCCAATCTACTAACCACAGTGGTAGTCGACAAACCGCTTCGTGGAACCCCAAGAGTTGGTATTTCATGAAACTACTCAATTAATTCAAATATTTTAGATGATAAGTTAAAGATCCGCAATGTGGTATTTCTAACGTGTCGTTTTGTGTTTACCCACTTTAGTTTGCATTATCTTTTGTTTTACCTTGTCATTATCGTTGCTTATACTCCTCTGTCCTAAATGTAAGACCATATACACACTAGTATAAGGGTCTTATATTTAGTATCGGAGGAGTATTAGATAATTTGTTTTTGATCTCATTTTGGGATCACTCCTCTCTCGTTGGGTGTTTTTGTTCTGCCAAAAAAAAACTCCATTAATTTGTCCCTGTTTTTTTTTTTGGTTGTCATGTGATTTTATTCTAGGAAAGCTGGTCTTGAATTTGCGCTTACACCCTGTTTTAATTCTTATAGTACCATTGAAAGCATCGCTTGGTTAAACTAAAGACATATGATCTATTTCAGGGCTCAGTCCCTTAAAAAATTCTTAAACTTGAATAGGCCATCTTGATACTAATAAAGTATATGAAAATTATTGAATCATAAATTATGATAATTTCATTAGAATAAAGAAAATTCCAAGTGCCAGAATTTAAAGTCATGATTGTAACTTGCAAGGATAGTAGTTATTGAAAAATGGAATCATATAACGAGATTTATAATTGTTTGGCCTTTAACTAGAAGTTGAATATAAATGGATTAATATTTAAGAACACATTTAATATAAACCTCTTAAGATTTTCATTGTATCTCCAAGATTTAGTTTAAACTCCTGGTTTTACAATACGATCCCTCAAATTTAATTCAAATACTTGAGAACCACTACAATTAGTTAACTTCACAGACACTTGAGTATCACTACAATTTTCTCAAATTTCAGTACTTGAGAACTTAGCTCCTTGTGTTTCATGGTATACCTAACAACTACTCCCCCTTGCACCATGCAAGGTAACAACCTTTTGTAGAATACAATGGAGTATGAATTCTTTCAAAGAAGGGATTAACAATGAGGCATAGACTCAAAACTCTTCTCTTTCTAAGAAATAGTGCAGGACACTAAAGTATAATATGATAGAATATGCAATGAAGCTCGATAATGATCGTGACAACATTTCAGCACACATTTTTGAGAGTTCTTGTCATTCTTTTCAATGCTCCTCCTTTTGTGAATCTCAAACACAGCAGAAAAACGAAATCGTTCCTTGTGTCCAAGTAGTTCTGATTTTGATGTGCTATTGTCAATTTCTCCCTCTCACCAAAATCCAATACACACACACATAGATATATGCATTATAATAGTGTCCATTTTAAAAGAAAATGGCTAAAAAAAAGCCGAGTTTATAGGATTCTAAGCTATGCCTTATGAAAAGAGGTTGGATAGGCTCAATGTAGGTAGACTCTCTAATAGGAGCTTAACCTATTTTCATCCCCAACTATGACCAAGCTAGCCAATAGTGCCAATGAGAAAGAGATGAATATATATATATATATATACATAAATCTTATATTCATCATTTTTGCAACCGTGTAATCTTTGTATGTGACCGTCTTAACAAGTTGCAAATGCTTCGAGCCTATATTCCAATATTTTTCATTTTTGCAACCGTGTAATCTTTGTATGTGATTTTCATGATTTTATTTGCTAATTAATCTTGCCCAAAAATTTGAGCATCATATGAAGAATAACCCAAATAATTAATGATTATTGTAAATTTAGTGAAAAATAATTGTGCACAAGACTATTTAAAATCAATTAATCACATCTCCATTTTTATGAATTATTTTCAAAATTCATATCCAAATTTAGATGTTGTGATTGATTGATGATTAATGATACCTATTGTAATTTGTAACGTGCAGATCAGATTTTCTTCTTTTCACTCTAATCATGATACCTCCTGTATGGGACAATTAATCTGTTATGAGAAAAAGTTGTCATGCAATCAAATAACTTGCATATTAAAGATAAATCAACCGATATTAAATTGTCTTCTGCATCTTGTAAATTAATCAAGATAAATGTGATTGATCCAATCAAAAAATTTTCAACTATTCAAAATAGATTAGATATTGTATAATATTTTAAATTAAAAATAAAAAAAATGTAGTAATAATTTTTTTTCAATAACCGATATAGTAGTAACTACGAGTTATAACATTCAATGTAAATATATTTTTACAGACTGAAACAAAGATGACCGGAAAAAAACTTGAATAAAATTGCTAGCCATCCTCAATTATCTAATGTAAGTAAAACTGTAAGACTAAGCATCTAACAAAAGAAAAAGTCAAGGCAGTCACAGTCATGTCCTAACCATCAACAAAAGACAAGTCCAAGTCACGCAGTGAGTACCAACTCTGCTTCAGTTCGCTCAATTCCTTCTGAGCTTTCTCCAAATCTTTAACCCATACTTCATAATTTCTGGCCTTAGTATGCAAGGATGTCACAAACTGTTGGTGTTCACGAACAGAGGCCTTTGCCTGTTCTCTCAATTCTGCTTCTTCAGCAGACAGGTCCGCCTGGTTTGCTTGTCTGAGATTTATATCGGAACGGGCATTGATGGCTTGCTTCTCAAAATTAGCCTGGATTTTATTAATAATGGCCTCATTTGCTTTGACCAGCTCATCCTCTCTGTGTCTGCTGGTGAACCTAAGCAAATATATATCACGTTGCAACTTTGTAACTGTAGTAAGCAACTCACGATATCGATAGCACTTGTTGGTCGTGACCGCAATGGTTTCCAATTCGTCCCTGTTGGAAAGACTGATTGCAGTTCAGCAACGCAGACGAGTATCGCTTTAAGTATCTCTTCATTCAAACACATCATATCCAAGCGAATGAAAGACATGACCGAATTACGAGCTTCAGCCAGGTTGTTGTCTAGATCCATGGGCTTAATGCAGAACCCTGGTGAATCTAGTGTTTCCTGAGAGTAAAACAAAATCAAAATAAGAGAACAAAGAGACATGCAATGCCACTAATAGAAAGATCAAGGCAATGCACTCACCAAAGTTATAACTGTATCAGGGATTCCCTACAGGAAATGAAGCACAGGTTAGAATAGTAAAGAACTTGATAATGAGCTCATGGTCCAAAAGAGAGAGTCTACCTCTGATGAATGGTGGTCATTATTTGCTTTTTCCTTTCTAGGAGGCATTATTTTCCCTGCATACAATATTTTTGACATTTTCAGCTTATAGGGTACTAAAGACAAGGAGAGAAAATAAAATGTGTAGCCCCTATGAATAAGATTTTATATGCATTTTCAGTTCAATGACTACATTTACTAGACCCAGAAGTGTTTCTGTCCCTGTCTCTCATCTCATAGGGTACAGATGCCAGAGGAGACAAGTAGCATGCACAAATAGAGCCCGGAAATTTTCTTACCAATCAGGCCAATCACAAGATCTAAATCCCTGTTAATGAAAGAGGCACCACAAGACTTATTGGATCAAGAGCTAAGAGGCCTCAATGGGCTATGGAAGGTGAGTTGAATAAATGCCTCAAGCTAGTCAATATACTGACAGCAAGTGAAGATAAAGTTAAGGGCCAAACATAGTAGCTATTTCGAGCCTGTTATTTAGCGTGTTATCTAAATAAGCATGTCATGTTCAATACAAGTGATTTTATTAATCAAATGGTATGTTTATAAGAACTAGGGCTTTATTAAATTATTCATTTTTTAATTTGATGAAATAAAATTACATGTTTCATTTTTAATATAACGTACAAAGGCAATAGAGTTTCCTAAAAAGTGGTAGCCTATAAACCTATTTAAACAATTTGAGAGGTTCGCAGACAAAACAATTTTTGAAGTAATATAATTTTTGTGACTCGTTTTAGCTCTCTTTATGGTTTCTTCCTCAATTGCTTGAACTTATCATAGACAAGTCCCTTTGTAGCATTCAAGACTTCTTTGATATTCAGAGTTCATGAGTCTCCAGTTTATACTTTATAGGGTATAAACATGATTACAAGGTTTGGGGTTCTTTATACACTTGGTGGTTTAGATTTTCATTTAGCCAGGGCTTCTCCGTCAAGATGGTTCCTGCTGAACCAATTTGTTGCTTGCTCTAAATTATGTTTCTTCCACATAATCAAAAACCTAAATCAAAATCAAAAGCAAGGCAAAACACTGAAATATCATAGAACTGAAACAAAACAAAACTCATTTATTTATCTGCTACTTTTTAAATGAACATACATAACCATCAGAGTAGTTTAGAGGTTCGGAATTGGATTCTCTAGCTGGATGCAAGTTGAAAATTGGGTCCTGAATTGCCTTCATGGTATGGATGATTGGTTTAAACAGAAAAAAACATAGTAATAGAAATTTCAGATAATCTCAGAATAAAATGCCAAGCTGGCTACTTTCTGCATCCAGAAACTCAGCAAGACACAGCATCGTTTATCAGAAATTATCTAAATCAAGATATTGCATATTAAACAACTAGCTACTTTCTGCAACAATGTTGTTTACTCTTCATACGCATGAATGACCGAAGAGATGATTATTTACTCTCTAAATTTTATACATTTGCCTTGAATCTACAACATGTAAACCACAAATAAATGTAGTCTCATCATGCGTGCGTTCAACACTCATCCCAGCTTAAAGAACAAAATCCAATGATCTGAAACATACGTCAATTGGGGAAAAAACCACTTGGGAATAATTTAAAAAAAAAGGGGTACACTTTAAACAATAACTAGGATAGCTAAATGACTATGCAAATGTAGTTCAACCATGTAAGCCTAACGTTAACTCCGTAGATATACTTAATAGAATAAAGACATCATAAGAATGAGATATCCTCCTCACTGCAAAAGCACAATGTGAAAGTCAAACATGTCCAATCAATCCAGATCAACATCTAGCCACCAAACAGGAATAATAGAGAACTTGAATCAAACAGCAAAAAGAGTACAGCGGGAATGCAGACCACCACAAGACAATGGAGAGTGTAAAATCCCAAATCATAAAGTGTGAAGACCAATCAAAATCATAAAATCAGCATAAATCTGTTTCAATCGCATTATCACATTGATGTTCCTCATTCACTTGCTCACATATTTTTGCTCTCTTTGGCCAAAATGAATTTCTAGTTCTATATTTCCACTAGTTGACATCTATAAGAATATAGCAAAAATAATATTTATGCAGAAACAAATAACCTCATGAGGACCAAATCAAACAAGATCAAGAAAAGGGGAATTCAACAACCTGAAAAGATTGAACATAAATGGGTGGAACAAATTGAAATGCGAGGCTAGGAAAGGATTAGCAATTCAAAGCATCAAAAAAATTTCATAAAGCATGACCAATAAGATTTCCTATAGAAAAGAGTAAAAAAAAAACAAATCTATATCTTATCTTGTATGAGGCAGCACTTAGAAGACCTAAGATAGTTTTAAAAAAAAAAAAAAAAATAGTACAATGAAGTGCCTCAAAACCTATGGATTATAGCCAATAAAAAAAACTTTGCAATCTATTCTAGAACCTATAGGAGATAAATTAAGTAAAGAATGAATGAAGTAGAGCAACCGAAATGGTAATCATAGTGAAGAGAGGTTAGATCACAGCCAATTGATACATCTTGAAGTTTATCCCAAGGTTTAGTGTTCAAGCTTTGGTTTGGGAGAGGAATTGGGTATTAGGTGGGTTCTGAGGTTTGGCTCAATCTTGGGAGAGATAGTTTTGGATTAGAGGTGGTGAATTCTGTAGAACAACCTTACTGTGTTGTTTGGCGGGAGAAGGGGGATGTTTGCCATAGCATAGACAAGTCCCTTTGTAGCACTGAACACGGATTCAGAGTTCGTGAGTTTCCAGTTTATAGGGTATGAACCAGATTACAAGGTTTGAGGTTCTTTACACACTTGATAGGTGGTTTTGACTTTGGTTCAGCTGGGGCTTCTGCATCAAGATGGCTCCTCCTAGCTCAATATGTCACTTGCTCTAAATAATGTTTCTTGCACATAATTGTGATTGTAAGCTTTAATAATAAGTTTAGGTAGAAAACACAACTGAAACAGAGCAAAAACTCATCCAATTATCGGCTACTTATTAATTGAACAAATATAACATAACCATTAGAGTTTAAAGGTTTGGAATTGGATTGTCTAGCCGGATGCAAGTTGTAAATGGGTCCTGAATTGCCTTCATGGCATGGATGCTTGATTTAACAGATAAAACATAGGAATAGAAATTTCAAATAATGTCAGAATAAAATGCCAAGCTAGCTACTTTCTGCATCCAGAAACTCAGCAAGACACAACAACATTATCATTTACCAGAAATTATCTAAATCAAGATTTTGCATATTAAACTGCTAGCTACTTTCCGCAGCATTAGTGCATGAGCATGTGAATAATCCCAGAGGTATTCAAGTCAAGGGAACTCCAAATATGCATGAATGACTGAAGACATGATTATTTACTCCCTACATTTTATACATACAGGCCTTGAATCTAACCACAAATAGCCTTAAGGACCTAAAGTAAGAAGCATCAACATAGAGCCTGTTTGATTTTGTTTTCGACTTGTCTTTAAAAACTATTTCATAAAATAATTTTAAAACTACTTTTGAAAACAAAGCAAAAATAAAACGTGTTTGATATTGTCAATTTCAAAAAAGTTTTACAATTAAAAAAAATAAATAAAACCTGCTATTTTTTCAGGATAAGTTTTCAAGTTAAAAAACAATAAAAAAACCTGTTTGAGTTTCTTTTTGAATTAAGGAATATAGAAATATCTTTTAAAAAGTGGTACATAAAATTAAAGGTTGCTTAAAACAATGAGAACTGTGGTTCAATTAAATCTGGAGCTGTACTGATAAATGTTATCTCATCATACGTGAGTTCAACATGCTTCCCAGCTTAAGAACAAAATCCAAGGATCTGAAACATACGCCAATTGGGAAAAACCATTTGGAATAATTAAAATAAAGGTACACTTTATACAGTAGCTAGGGGAGCTAAATGATTATTCGAATATAGTCCACCATATAAGCCTAAAAATAACGCCATAGATACACTTTATAAAGTAAAGGCATCATAAGAATGACTGAATGAGATACCCTCCTCACCGTAAAAGCACAATGTGAAAGCAAAACATGTCCAATCAATCAAAGACTAATCAAGCCAACAAATAGGAATAATAGTAAACTTGAATCAAGTAGCTACAGAGCAAAGAGGGAATACATACCATCACAAGACAACGGAGAGTGTAAAATCCAAAATCATAAAGTGCGAAGACCAATCCAAATCGTAAAATCAGCATAACACTCTTTCAATCGCATTATCATTCTAAAATTCCTCATTCACTCACTCACATACATATCTATCAACTAAATCCACTAAAATGTCCGTCTTTCCCCCTCCAACTACTTGCTACCATTTCTGTCTCCGTGCGAAAAAAAGGAGCAAACCCTCGAAAGATCGAAGCTAAGAGACGAAAACGAAGCTGAGAGTGGCTGAGGGTAAAGAGAGAAAGGTACCTTAGCGATGAGCAAGCCGCAGGCGGCAAGAATCAACAAGTGCGATTGAACCCAACCGTGCCGCTACGTAATTATAACAAAGCCACCCTTTTTAAAAAAAAAAAAAAAAAAGGGTCAGGAGTTTTCCCCTATTTCTCAAACATAAATGAGTTTTTTAAGGGAAAATCAGAAAAAATACCCTAAAAAATAAAAATTGTATACAAAACCTATTCATAAAAATTATTGTCAGTCAAAACCAATATTAATATTGTAACGAGTCTCTATTTATAAATTTTCTATTTCTACGATCTTCTTTTCTAATTTTTTCTTTTTTAAAAAAAAAACTTTTTTTATGAGCCTAGGCCACGCATAGTAGTGACTAATTTTGTCACATCATAAACTTATAAATGAGCTCTCCATACATACCTTTAAGAATTGAACTTCTAACTAGATGCTTAAAGAACCCAACTAAGTGTTAATTGTACTAAGCCTCATGATTAATTTTATGTTTAAATTTTTGGGTTAATATAATCTTTAGTCC